GAGCCACTGCAGCCCAGAGCCCCTGAATGCCGGGGTCAACTCACGACCATGAGGATCGTGATTCGAGCTGAAGTCGGACACCCAACCGACTGAGCCACCCAGGTGCCCCTAAATCTGTGTGGTTTCTAATCACTGAGTTTGTGCTAGCTTGTCACAGCGGTGACAGGAAACCAGTTCAGGGCACTAAGTCTTTCCTAAATCTTTGGCCTCCAAACATTTTGATCACTCACCCGTTAAAAAATTGATCATTCTGTACGTTCATGTATTATATGTCATACCCTAATGTAGACAGTTCAAAGGGCATTCCTTCCAGCTCCAGCAGCAGCCACGGTGGAGACCCTGGCCCCAGGCAGTCAAGACCAGGCCTGGAGCCCTCGGGGTGCCTCTGGAAGCAACGGGGACCTTCTGAGAGGAGGGGGGGGGATGGGCCAGGTTCTGAGCCCTGTTGGCAGGTGGCCCTGGAGGCTCTGGCCTCTACTGTGAAGGAGCTGGTGGCTTGAGGTCAGGCCACGCAGTGAGATGGGGCTTCTGGGGTGCTGGGCCTGGTTAACGAGACTGAGTCAGCCCACGGTCAGCCTTGCTGGTGCAGCAGCCGTGGAGGGAGGTCCGGCTGGCTGAGGGCCGGCCTTGGCCGCCGGGGCCCAGGGTCGGCCTGTGAGAGCCCTCCTGGCACCTCAGAGCCTGGGCTAGGGGGTGTCCACAGATGATCTAAAGGGTACGTTGATGGGGCGGTGGTGATAGAGGCGTGAGCCCGAGGCCTGACAGTTGAGGAGCTGGCGGGATGTGACAAGAGGGCACGTGTCAGGGCCAAGTAGCTTCTGTTCGTGGAGGGTGAGAAGGTGCAGAAAGGCAGCCGGGTCTGTTGAATACTTTTGATGTGCTGGGTGAGCTGCGTCCAAGTCCCTACCCGAGATCGCTGCGCTGTGTGACCTCAGGCAAATGGCTTGACCTCTCTGTGCCTCCGTTGCTGTTTGTAAAACAGATATTGCGAGGCTTAAATGAGATAATCCACAGCACCTGCCATAGTGAATGCCCAGCAGAGGTGGCTTCATTCATTCCCCAAGCTGTCACTGAGCACCTGCTGGGCACCAGCGGCTGTTCCAAGCACTTGGGGTCCACACACTCGTGAACCAAAGTGACCAAGGACCGTGATCTTTTGGGGTTTTATTCTCCTACTGTGTCATTTCTCCTGAAAGCCCAGGGAGTCTGGATTCAGACCATGAGCTGCACCTATTCCAGGAGGAGCCTACTGAGAGCTCATGGGAGGGCAGGGGTCTTGCTTGGGGTCACACGTCATGTCATGAGACGAGCCTTTAGGGCTGGTTGGACAGAGCTGCCAGAGCCCCTCCATTCGGCTCTGCCCCTCCCTGTCCTGCAGCCCATGTCAGCCCATCCCATCATCTCCCGGGGGTACCTGGAGATCCTCGAACAGCGCTGGGCACGTGGGGTCCCCATGGGCAGGGGTGCAGAGCTATGGGATCAGACCTCCCCATCCCCGCTTGAAGGCATCTTCTCCAGAAGCTTTCAGGGCTTCAAACCAAAGTGGCTGGATGCGTGGATTGGGGTATAGGTGGAGGGCTGGTCTGAGGCCGGTGGAGGCAACTCTTGGGGCTACGTGGCCGGGTTTTCAGTCTATAGAGAGGCTTTGGAGAGAAGACCAGAGGAAAATGGGGAATCTGCCTTTCCCTGAGTTTGGAGGGGGTGTAGACTCGGGGCGGGATCTGCTCACCCGGGTAGGTGGTTTAATTTCCACCTGGGCTCTGAGGCTGCAGGTGAACACCAGGCCAGGGAGTCCGTGTCCAGGCTCCCAGTGTGGACTCAGACCTTGTCTGAATGCCAAACTCACATGCTAGCGGGGCTGGTTCCCAGGGCTGCTGGGTAAGAGCCAGTGATGGGAGAAATGTCCTTTTCTCGACTTAACCTGCTACATGCCATTTCCGAACAGAGTTGCCAACCGCCTGACTTATTTACCATCTATTTGCAAACCAGCAGTTAAGGGCTAAAACCGTAGCAGGTGGCCTGATTAGGTCTGACGGGACATTGTCAGGCACGCCTGTCCTTTTTTCTGTAACATCCTGGAAGTTTTCAGCCACGATTAAAATAAAATTTAAAAAAAGCATCAATGAGAGTTAGCCAGTGTCAAACCCAGAGCATTCTACCTGATTTATGGGCCAGTAAATTGAGGCTGTGCCTGGGTTCTCCCTGGAGTTTGAGACTAGTTTTTCCCCAGAGCTGCGACCAGGGCCATGCTGGTGGGGAGGTGACTCCAGCTGACTTGGGCCTTCTGGATGCCTGCCAGGCTGGGACTTGAAGGCGCCAAGGTAGAAACCCTCTTGCCCACCCCTCCCCCGCCCCGTAGCCCCAATAAATACACCTGTGGCCACTAGGGGGCGCTGGAGCTAACCCGAGGTTCCATCACCCGTGGTAGATAGAGGAAGACCACTGGGCAACCATTTGTCAGGAGGGCTAAATCTTAAATAGCACTGAGTGAAGAAAAATAAAAAGGCCACGATATCTGTAGAGTAATATGTATACACATTTAAAACACATGCAAACATAAAATAATGTAAAAACAGGAAGGAGGGCAAAACAGACCCTTAAATACAGAAAACAAACAGGGTTGCTGGAGGGGTGGTGGGGGGGATGGGCTAAATGGGGAAGGGGCACTAAGGAGGACACTTGTCGGGATGAGCACTGGGTGTTATACATTGGGAATGAATCACTAGATCTACTCTTGAAATCATCACACTATATGCTAACTAACTTGGATGTAAATTACAAAATAAAATGCATGCAAACAGAAAACAACTCCGTGGTTTGAAGAAAACCAATACATTCCACTTACATGAGGTCCCTAGGATGGGCAAATTCAGAGACCAAGAGCAGAATGGTGGGTTCAGGGATTGGGATGGGGGCGTGGGGTGCAGGGAATGAGGAGTTGGTGTTTAATGGGTAGAGTTTCAGGTGGGGATAGAGAGAAGGTTCTGGAAAGGGATGGTGGAGATGGTCGCACAACAGTGTGAACATACTTAATGCCACCAAACTGTACGCTTAAAAGTGGCTATGGGGGTATATTTTATGTTGGGTATATTTTACTGCCATAAAAAGATGGGTACATATTGACCGACATACCACAGGGACCACCCATAGAAGATGGGGCTTGAAGGGGCGCCTGGGTGGCGCAGTCGGTTAAGCGTCCGACTTCAGCCAGGTCACGATCTCCCGGTCCGGGAGTTCGAGCCCCGCGTCAGGCTCTGGGCTGATGGCTCGGAGCCTGGAGCCTGTTTCCGATTCTGTGTCTCCCTCTCTCTCTGCCCCTCCCCCGTTCATGCTCTGTCTCTCTCTGTCCCAAAAATAAATAAACGTTGAAGATGGGGCTTGGCAACGGGAATGAAGGGGAAGCCAGTGTTGACCGCGGGTCTCTCTAACCCCAAGTGTGATGAGCTTGGCTCTCAGTGCCGAGAGCAACCCCCCCCCAAAGTGCTATTTGACAGTTTCCCTTTAAATGAAGTAGCTTACGTAAATTTGCCCCAAATGCCAACTTTATTATTTTTTTTCTAAATGTTTATCTTTGAGGGAAAGGGAGAATCCCGATCAGGCTCCCCACAGTCAGTGCAGAGCCCAGTGTGGTGCTTGATCCCACGAACCATGACATCATGACCTGAGCCAAAATCCAAAGTCAGACGCTTAACTGACTGAGCCACCCAGCTGCCCCCAAAAGGCCAAGTTTACCCTGGGGCAAGTAGAAACCCTGCATTGGCTTCCCTGGTACGAGACGCATGTCCCTTTCCTTGACCTAGTGTTCATATTCTCATTTTTGACTTGTTGGCAGCTTTCTACCTCAAGTGCTTGTCCTTACGTAGTTCAGATTAATTCCTTAAACTCCCTTCCACACGCCCTTCGCTCCCCGGCTAACTCCATGTTCCCCCACCCCACCATTTGGTTGGGTTTTGTTTGGGGCAGGCCAGGCATCAAAGTAGGCATCAAATACTGGTTGTACTGCTTTTTAATCCATGTTTAGAAAGACCTGAGCCAACATTTTAAGTCTGCTGTCCGTAAAACCGGACTTCTGTTAGTGAGGTGGTTAATGGGACTCTGGAGTAAAACAAGACTGTGGGCGAGAGGGTGCTGCAGAGTCGGGGCACCTGCTGTGTTTAAACATACCTGGGTGCCACCTTACTTTCCCCCCCCCAGGCAGCAAAGGTGGACTTCCTATTCTGAAACTTACGGGGTCCCGTGGGTATTTGCTCCATTAGCGCACAGTAGGAGCGCAAAATCAACTGCTCGCCAGCAACCGTTGTCATGCCAATAACGGAAATCTTCCGTGATTTAGAATAGATCAAATCACGTCAACTTTTAAAGATACACCAAGGAAGTTAATAAAGCTGGCTTGTTTCTTAAGTAAGCTCTGTGCCCAACGTAGGACTTGAATTCATGACCCAGACATCAAGAGTCACAGCTCCATGGGCTGGGCCAGCCAGGTGCCCCCAAAGCTGGCTTGTGTTACATCTAAAAAGGATCGCAAATAAAAATGGAATACTTGGGGGCATCTGCCTGGCTCAGCTGGCAGAGTTGTGACTCTTGATCTCCAGGTCGTGAGCTCGAGTCCCACACTGGGCATCCAGCTTACTTAAAAAGAAAAAGAAAATGGAACACGTTTAGGCTCCCTGCTCGCTGGTCAAAAGAGGCTAGTAGAGCATTAAAGGCATTAAAGGTATACTGGAAGCCAACTTACTCCTTGGCGTGATTAGGTTGGAAGGGAATTGAATAGAGAATAACTTTCCCTCCAGATGCCTCAATGCCTTTTAACCCTGTGTGCGGACAACACCTGTAAACCGTCTCTTGTTCCCCCCGTGACGAGTGTCCTTGGCTTGGGGGATACTGCTGTAGACCGTGAGCTGGTAGAGAGCTATGCTGTCTGCCCGCTGGGGCCACAGTCTAGCAGCCTTGATCCCTCAGGAGCTCTGTCTGCCCGGCAGTTTTGGCTTGGTAGAGCGTCCATGGGTCTCGGTCAGATCTGCATTAAATCCCTTCCTGGCACGAGGGACCTGACCTTGTCAGTAGAGCGGGTAGGGTAATTGTTCTCGGGGGTTAAATGTGCTAACGGGGATATGTAAGGCTCTGTCCCAGACCATGGCACGTAGCGGGTATACGATCATGGCGCCTCTTCTTTCCTACATCTTGGGCTTAGCATAGCAGCAGAACATCAAACCATTCTCTCTGTATTGGCTTTCAGCCTCATGACCACAGGATGGCTGCTGTAATACAGATGTTGCATCTGCACTGCAGGCAGGAAGGAAGAGGAAGGGGTAGGACCTGTGAGCTTGGTTCCTTTTATCTAAAACTGAAAGTCATTTTCTACCACTCTGCCTGGAGTAAAACAGGAACCCTGTTAAGTAGGGAGGAAATGGGCCGTGACTGATGGAAAAGCAACCCCACAGCATCTGCCCCCAAATGGTTATTGGACTTCCGATGGTTTCCCTGCCCCTGTCATGTCAGAGCCGACGTGAGGAAGGAGCCCGAAGCTAAGTTAATTTTGCAAAGAAGGATGGATATGGAATGGAAGCTTCCAGAAGGAAAACTCAGAGTCTCTTCCTCCCACCCCCACCCAGGCATTTGCAGGGCCTGTTCCCTCCTTTAGAAACCCTTTTTCTCCGTTCTTCTTGGGACAACACAGTCCTCCTTCTCCACCCTTAGGTTTTTCTCTGGTTGGCCTGACCCCCCCCCCAAATCCAGGAGAAGGCATGTTTGGGGTCACCAGAAAGGGAGAGAAGGAATATCGTGTGAGCTCAAGGGAGAGCCCAAGCCAGACTTGGATGGGGTGGGGCAGCCAGGGAGATTTCATGGAGGAGGTGGCTTTTATTCGTTTAACAAACCTCTCATCCCCTGCTCTGTTCCAGGCCCTGTGAGGGGCCCTGGGGAATCAGGTAGATGTTCTACACCAAGGGAGGCCTATGTGGCTTCGGAGACCTGGATGGCAGGGAGCATCCGGGCCCCGAGAAATGTCCCGAACCAGCCAAAGCGCTTCTCTGTCCTGGCTGCTGGGTACAGGAATCAGAGCCAAAGAAGCTCACTGTGAGACAGAAGCTTGAGTCCGTCCAGTGTGGAGACGGGTAGCCCTGCAAGTCCCTTCCACCTCATCGTATGATCTCGTGGCCCAGCTCCCTGCTTCCGGTGGTGAGCTTTGGAGAAATCTAATCATCAGAAACCCAGACGCCTTTCCAGGTGGAAAGGGGCTTGTGACCTCAAGGCTCCTCTGTGAGCCCTGTGGTGCGGAGCTGAGGTCACTGTTGAGTCCACGGGGAGGCAGAGAGGCTGCCCGGGAAAGGGCCTCCCGGTTGGAGGCGTAAAGTCAAAGTGGTGACGACTCTGTCGAAAATGACGGCAGCAAATTGATGGGAAACTGGATTTCCATTCCCAGAAATCCCCAGTAACCCCAACCTTTCACCTGTGTGCCGTGGTGTAACTTGTCTCCTTGGGTTGTTTGTGTGCAGGTACCGGGCCGCTCACCTTAAATTCAACAACACGTGGCTTTAACACCAGTTCCTCTTCCGTTATTTTCGTGCTGAGATCAGAGCCGTTCCGGGGGGTGGGCTGGAGGCAGGGGTGCGTCTCCCACTTGTCTGGGCAGGAACAGCATGAGGCAGGGAGGAGGCTGGCAGGGAGTTGGCTGTTGAAACGGAGAGGTCTCCTGCCCTTACCGCACCCTGCAGATTTCTTCCCGGCAGAGCCCCGCCTCTGGGTTGGAGCAGACCGACTCCTTCCGAGCTGCAGTGTGGACTGTGACCGGTAGGTGGCGCCTCTGCCGGAGGGTCTCACTTGTTTCTGGCTTGTCGCACAGCCCTGGGGCAAGCTGGACGGTCAGGAATTGTTGGCAAACAAAAGAACGAATGAATGAGGCAGGAAGGACAGGAGACGAGGGGACACCTCGTGCTCCAGCATGAAGGCTTACTAGGTTTGAGGGGTGATGCTCTAAAATGAACCCAGCCGGAAGTTATTTGATGGGGCGGACCCCGACTCCCTTGTCCAGGGAACAGGGCATCCAGGATGCTGGGAGCTCCTCACACGTGCCTTTTGTGGGAAGGTAACGGTCACTAGGTCACGTGACTAGCAGTTCGGAGGCTTCCTCCTTGGTGGAAGTCCATCAGTTGCTTTGAAATGGTCACAGCTTTGCTGCTTTTTCTTTCAGAGTGAAACATCTTTCGACCTAATATCAGAAAAATGTGACATTCTGTCAATTCTTCGGGATCATCCTGAAAACAGGATTTACCAGAGGAAAATCCAGGTGAGGCAGAGGTTCAGGAGGAGAGGATCTTGGCTCAAAGGGGCTGGAGCTGGGACCGGAGGTGAAGGTGCCACTTTGAAGGCAGAAAGGCGGAGCACTGGGGCTGGGCTCCCAGGCAAATTAAAGGGCTCCCAGAGTATTTCGATGTTGGGCATTTGCCTTAATGAGAAATCTTTTAGTTGCCAAAACAAACACACAAAAAAACATAGTGATTTATTTTAAAGCTAGGTGCTGTCCTAAGTGCTTTACGTGCTCACTGAGACCTCGTTACGATATTGCAGGGTCAGTACTTGTGGCATCCATGTTTGACGGCTGAGGAAACCGAGGCCCAGAGATGAGATGGCAGGTCCACAGTCCCGCAGCTAGTGCGTGGACAAGCTGCGTTCGGACCAGGCAGCCTGGTCTCTCTCGCCAGCTGCATCCGTAACCACGGCGTTAGGGCATCTCTCGGCGGGGAAGGGCCACTCCAGCTGGGCTACGCAAATGGGGAGTTTGCTGGAAGGATGCAGGGACAGCTCACAGAACCAGGGCAGTAGGGGAAGCCTGGGCGCCGTCCGTCTCTGGGGGGCGGCAGAACTCTGCTTCTGTCCTGCGGCCGTGCGGAGCACCCCCGGGGGCAGGGGCAGGGGCTGGGTGGCCCAGACCCGTGTGCCCTGGCGCCCACTCAGGAGAGGAGGTGGGGTTCCCCAAGGAGCATGGTCTTCCTGCTGGCCTGCCTGGGATGGGCCCCGTCAGCTCCAAGCCGCCTCGTCGCTGTGGTGGGAGCAGGGACTCCCCGGCGCCGTGAAGGCCGTGCCCTCTGCTGTCAAAACCCCGACTGTAGCCCCACGAGGCAGCAAAGGGGCCTCCGGGCCATTTCAGAGGGAAATGGGCAGCCAGGAGCAGAGCCGGAGGTGGGTGGCGTGGGGAGGCCGCAGCTTTTGAGAAATGTTGGAAGGACTGGGCGGACGGTTGGTTCTGTCTGCGGGGGCCTTTTCTACCGGCTCTGCAGACTCCTGGCCCTCCAGTCACACCCCACCCAAGGCCTCCGCTCACCCATGCCGCCCCCGCCACGCACACCATTTCTCCTCCAGGAAGCCTTCCCAGACTTCCGAAGTCTGGTGTAGATGCCACTGCTCTGAGACGCCCCCATGCTTCCCCTGTTCTGTCCGACCGTCCGTCTCCCGCAGACTGTAGGCTGCCTGAGGGCGGGCCATGACTCCCGCCCGCCACAAGGACATGCTCAGCATCGTTTAACCTCTGTGATGAAGCCGGGAGACCGGGAAAGGGCGGCCGGTCTGAGAGGACCGGGGGACTCGGGGGCCTGGGTCCCCATAGGATGTGACGCGAGGGTCAGCGGTGTTGCGGATGTCCCCATTTCCTTCTCTGCCCCACAGGAACTCAGCAAGAGGTTCACTGAGATCCGCAAGACCAAGGGGGACGGCAACTGCTTCTACCGGGCCTTGGGCTATTCCTACCTGGAGTCTCTGCTGGGGAAGAGCAGGGACGTCCTCAGGTGAGTGGCCTCGAGGGAGCGCTGGGCCCCGAACCCCACCCCACCCCCGCCGGGCGGCTTTCCCGGGCACAGCCTGCCTCACCCGGGAGTGGGCAGCCGTGGCGGAGGTGGGGGCAGCCCGGCAGCGGGGGGTGGAACCAGTGAGCTCGCGGGTGCCTCCAGCCCTCTGGCCCGAGTCCGCCTGGGTGGGTCACGCCGGCTGCCTTCCTGAAGATTCCAGGAGAAAGCGAAGGAGCTCTGCCCGTTCGGCCGCCCGTTTCTGGGTGTGTGTAACCAGGCGTCTAGTTTGTCAGGCCAGGTTCTTGACGGGCTGCTGACGAAGGCCTCTGTCCAGCAGCTGCCCCCAGAGCGACCCTCTAGGCCTTTGTCTGGGCTTCGGTCAGGGCTTCTCTAGCGTCACCATTTGTTCAACCCGCCTGGATCCTGTCGGGTGTGGTTCTGATCCAGTCCGGGGCAGGGCCCGCGGTTCTGTTTCTCTTGAGCTCCCAGAGGCACTGCCGTTGCTGGGTCTCAGACCACACTTTGAGCAGCAAGGAGCTAAGAGACCTGCTTCTTGACCTTGGAGCTCTCACTGCCCTGAGAGTCTGATGGCCACTCTGCAACGCATACAGGACCAGAGCAGACACAGGTCACAGAGCACCTGGGTTGGATCCGTGGACCCTGGTGCCAGACCCACTTTGCCGCCTCCCCGCAGCCCTGAGGGTTGAGACCGTACAGTACAGGGGTTTCCCCCGCCACCCGTGTCCCCCAGAGTTGTGCCATGCCGAGGCCCGGGGCCCTGAGGCCAGACCTCACTCTCTTGCTTACTTGCTGTGTGACTTTGGGCGAGTTACCCCGCCTCTCTGAGCCTCCGTTTCCACCATCTGTGGAAGGTGGATAATTTTGCACACTTAGGGTGTTGTTGGGAGGACCCAGCACGATGATGCTGGCAAAGCCCGGCCCTTATGTGTCTGTACCAGCCC